TGTTTTTTGTTTTGTATATGTATAATATGGAGTGTGAGTATGTGCGTATGTGTGATTAATTATTACTTGTTTGTTATTTTCGCTGAATGTTTTTTTTTTTTTTTTTTGCTAGTAATTACAATTTCATTTTCTCTAAAATAATGCATGTTATTTATCAAATATCGAATACTATTTCAAAAAAGTTATGAAGTACATTTTTTTTCAAGTGATCGGCAATTGTTTTATTTTTATTTTGAAAACATTTAATTAATATATATTTTATGATCAGAGAAATTCTACAAGTTCAATATAAAGGCAATTTGCTTTTAACCATTTAGCCAATCATACAAAAACTACTAATGTTAAATAATTTAGTTCACTTCATTGCACTGTCATACACATACACACACTGTATAGGTGAAACTAAGAACTGAACAAAAATAAAATTTTTAAGAAAAAGAATCATGTTACAAGCGTAATAAATGTTTAATAAATGGTACCTATAACATAATAAACACCATTTTATATTATAAATTATACCTAATTCACCTTTTATTTTAAATTTAATTCATATACGTTTATAATAAGGTAGATAATCAAAATATAATTCAATATGTTAATTAATAGTCATTTGATAGCTTGCAAAATATTTTTTCTTCAAATACTTTTTAAAATTATACTATAGTATTATTGAAGTGATCATCGTCAAGATTTTCAAAACAGTTTTTTTTACAAGAAATATACAATCTATACAATTAAGCACAATAAAACAAGTATATGTGAGATGAGGGTAACAAAACATTATGGGGTTACTTGAAGAAGAAGCCACCCATCAGTACCTAGTACTTAGCWTGTTTATTATTTGATTACTTACAACTTATTAAGATTAAGTTAGATGATCCCTACACCATTTCCTTTTTAGTCTGCAACGGGAATTTCCAGGAAGTGACGGGATATGTAAAGAAGATTTTCATGATTTTCTAATTTTCAAAACAGTTAAAAAAATATATTTACTGTCTTATCATCGTGGGATATGCAGGGTGTATTTTATTCATTCAAGTTACAGTTTAAATTAAGTCAGTTCTGAATAAAAAGTATACATCATTTAATATTAATTGACAAAAGATGTATATATTCAGAAAAAAAAAACAATTGTTTAAATAATTTAAAATATTTAACGCGCTTCGAACGAAGAACAATCCACGGCTACGACTACGAGTATATTCATTATTTAATAGTATATGCAGAACACGAATCATCATAATTGATTATTCAAAACATTCATTGATTACATTAGAATTTCAAAAGGCTGTTTTGATCACTTATTAGTTTGCGTTCGTATCCCTCTCACACATACAATGTAGATGATAATGATATTTTCTAATAAAAACTCAGCGTCGACTGCGGTCTGCCTATCAGTGTCCCAAAAACGTATACAGAACGTGCATCAGAATTAAATAACAGGTCCGCCATATTGATTCGGTTCTCACGAGGCGTCATGGAATCGCAAAAAAAATTTTATTTTTATTTTTTCTATTATTTCGACGCTGTGACGCAATCATAAACAGCCTATATAATAATATACTCTAATGTATCTATACAGCCTGTAGCAAAGGTATTCAAATATTATCCACCCCGTTGCTCTTTTGTGTCTTCTCGATATGTTGACATGGTTCCTCAAAATATTTTAGAAAACATTTAAACACGGAATACGAATACAATACGGGTGATATAGTCATACAATATGACTTTGTAATAGGTAGAGGAAATAAAACATCAAAATATGGTCACTTGTTTTTTTTACGTTTCGTTGTCGTTTCCATTATCACTTTAATGATTATAAAATAATCATATATAATTATATATATATATTAATTATATTATAATATTTCCTACGTTGCTTTTGGTTTCCTGTTCTTCCTGCCAACTCCTGTGAAGTCCCTGAAATAAGCCACGGCGCGTGGCGCACATAGGTACCTATARTAATATGCACGTGCCACATAATATGCATATTATACATTTACACGTTTTTTACAATGAACGTATTACAATAAAATTGTTTACCTTAATAATTGTAAATCCGTTGACAAAAAGCACCATTGTCCATTATATTATTTAACGATTGATCACGTTTAGTTCTACACTTCGATGCGATGACATTGTAACATATATTATTCATAAATCACAATATTAATATTATGCTGCAGTTATCAATAATTGTAATACTTTTTTACGTTATAAATTGTACTATACCTATCTAGTTTGGTTGTTAAAATGAAATATCTGTTATTAATTATTAGTGTAATTACATATCTATTTAGACAACCAGAATATTTCATTTATATACAATGTGTCTATAATACTGCAGTACTATTAAATTCTGATTGTTAAGGGTATTTGCTAAATTCACAATGATTGTAAAATAATTGATAAAAACTCAACAAACCCAATTCCTTTATTCGATAAACATGTAAATGTATAATTTAAATAAGATGTAGATAAACGAATATAGWTTAGTTACGATAGTTGTAAAATTGAAGTACATATTTCATATAAAAACTGCTACTGTACATAGTTTATTGAAATATTTTAAGCATAATATACCTATTCATTAAATCCTTAAAATAGAAGATATTTAAACAGTTAAAAGCACTTCTATTTTAACCCGAATATGTATAACGTTGGCAGATACTTTATTTCGTCTAAAGTGTAAAKGGATGTTTTGGTAAAGACATGAGAGATTTTCGAACTCACTCTGACACCGAATACCGATGGCATTGAAAGTCAATATAAAGTGTAGTTTGTTAATATATATATAAGTCATAAATAGTGTGTTACTTTTAGACGATTTAACGGGTTAAAAATATACACCTTTTGGAAATATTATCCATAATGTATTTATTATATGAATCGACAAAATCAGTATTCGTCAACAATGTTTGAACTGTTTGAAGTATRAAATATTTTACTGTAAACTAAATATATCAATGTATTTTTAATACATTATCATTTATAAATCTATATTTTCATATTTTCATTTTCAAGTTTAAGAAAAGAATTAGTAATAACAATTTTGTGAAAGTATTATGTTTATTAAGTACCTAGGTTGTTATTAATTATTAATTAATATATAATATTATATTAATTCAATATTTTATATATTTTTTTATAATTATATAGCAATAACAAAAAAAAATCAATAAGGAGATAAAACAAATACATTTAGAATATTTGAATGTAAACCGTGTTTCTAACATTTTTAAGAAAATTGTAGGTACAACCTTCATTATAATTTATAATTTATGTTAAAAATGTGAAAAAGTTATATCTATAGACCAATAGGCCAAATGTAAAAAATTTATATTATTTATAGGCAAACGGTACAGTTAGCAATGCTTTCATTAATTACTRATTTACCACAGATTTTACTTGATTTATAGCTATGTTCTGTGTATTACACTGCTTGTACACTATCAATGGCTGAATATGATTGTCGAAATATACAATAATGTAGGTAATTAATCAATACCTATGTATTATTCCTACATTTCATTAAATTAAATTCATAAAATTGTTTTATACATTCCAATAGATTTTTAATAACTTGTTAAATGTGAATATATTTTATACAATTAGATARGTAAGTTAATTTAACAATGAAACAAATGTTTTGTTTTAGATATACATTGTGACACAATTTTAAAATTATATTATGAAAAACATGAAATATAATAAATAATATTTAACATAATACTGTCAGACCAATGGCCAGAGCTGTCGCAGCCTTTATACTTGATAAAAAAATTAAATAAATAATATGTTGACTCTTAAAACAGTCCATATATATATTTATTGCACAAATTATTATCTACAGTARATAGTTGTTTGTAAAACCCCTATTATTAAGCTAAACCATATATATTCTTTAAAATTGTCATTCAAAAAAATGTTATTATAGATATCAAAATTTCAATTTAAAATGATATTATGAAACCATAACATTATTGTATTTAATTATGAACTAATTAACAAACAATTATTATTTTAAATGGCAAACACCATTCTTGCCGCTAAAATAATATGTCTTATATCGTGGCATCAAAATTGTTGAATTATTTTTTAATTGAATTCAGTATATGTATTCAATACTATTCATAGTTTATTCATAGCCAAAATGTTAAAAATATTTTCTAGAACGTGTTCGACAGTGTWGCATATCAATGGTATGATGGTGCCAATAATGATAAAATACACGTACCTGCCTAATGCCGTTCTAGAATAACAATAACGATGGAGAAGAAAATAAATTAGTGATTTAGAAATTTGAGATGGAATTTGTATGGAATGTTCATAAAGTGATGACGATAATATCATTATCTTTGAAWATTTGTTATACAGTATTTCTAATATTTCATGCAATTTCATACAATTTTAATAAAATCGTTACATACTTTAGCCTRTAGTTCATGTGTTCATTTTTTAAATTAAACGAACAATTCGTAGCTCACCGGATTTCGGTCCAATAAACAACAATAAATGTTTGAACAAAGACCCGGAGCATAAGGTGCTTAAATTCACTACAACTTCATTGAAATTTATTGTATTGGACTTACCGACTTTACCGAGTCAAGACAGTCTAGATAATGTTCATATTATATGGACATAGGTCATATTTAAAATAAATACCCCCAAAGTTGTAGAKTTGGAATCAACGGTAATTAATTTATTGAACAAATAATAAAATTTGGCTTTTGAAATCACTTAATTTTTAAAAGGAGTATAATTCRATTTAATAATGAGTAAAAGTTTTTACTTTTAGTACGTGTTCTTATTTCACTCATATAAAAGCATCATGGTACACATTTTGGTGTAATCTATGTAAAATACTACGAAAAATGAAAGTATCTACTTTCTTCACAACAAATAAAACAAGTCACGCGGCAACACCGCTGCGCAATGTATACAATTCAGTAATAAAACCCGCAAGGTATAGTTGAATAAAAAAAAAACTCTTGGGTTGATAAAAATAAAATTGCACATTTATTGTCTATGATAACGTTAAATGTATCAAATACATAGTCGGTAAAACGAGCGTCGTGAACTATAATATTATCATTACCTACTACGACTTAAACACTAGTATTTATAATCAACAATATTACAACCTATATATACAGACATACCTGAAAATAATTAACATTATACTTTAATAAAGGCAGTAATAACGAGACTAGAACGTACCAAGTAAAGACGAATATAGTAATAATAATAATAATATTATCACTAAATACCTTATAATACTGTCCCTATCCTCATAATTATTTTTTCTGTTTAAAATCTATAACAAATTTATGATTCTTAAAAAAAAAAATTAATCGACTGCACTATACCAAAGTGGTGTAATAACAAATAAATAATCTCGCTGTATAAACGAAATCCATTACAGAGTGCATCGTTGAATGCAGTTGCAGCTGAAGTACACCACGTTGGGGTGCATCATCCATTATTAAAACACGATTACCTACGGCGTAAAATGAGACACTCATTTGGGTGCAAAAAAAAAAATACAACATTACGAATGATACTGAAGGGTAATAATATTAAAAAGTCAATACAAAAATATGTCACATTGATTATTAAATTGAAAAAATACGTTGGAGAAAACAATAAATTCGGACGGAAAAAAGTGTAAATTATTGAATCAAAACAAAATGTCAAAAATATCACCTATCTTCAGAACTCRCTATTACTAGAAATAACAGTAGGTATTATAATAAATTCTATAATAGGCACTGATAAAAGACACCAAGTTCAAACATAAAATTGTTGATAGACTGCAGACGTAACGGCGCGTTTCCCTAGTCGTAACGCTGCGCAACAGAATCGGACAAATTATATGCGCCCAAACGTGYTAGGGATAATATGTAKGGAAATAATGTGTGTGCGCCCAAAACGCCAAGTGAATTTTCGCCCTAAAGTGGTATAGGTATTTTGATTTGTGCGTATTACTCCGCACAAAATACCGGACAACAGCCACATCGGACGTTCGCACGCACTACAGCGGGTCACCGTCGCCCATCTCGGCCTTGAGGTTGGCGCTCGACATGAGGTTGGACTGTATCCAGTGGTGTATCTCGATTGGGCACTCTGGCCGCCGGTACGCGACGTCGGCGTCCGCGGTCTTGGTGGCTGCCGACGCTCCGCCAGCGATAACCGTGCGCATCAGCTCGTCCGCGCTGCAGTCGACCACCCGCTGCCGGTTGTACACGATGGCCCGGATGAACTCGTCCGACTTGGACACGAACCGGAACTCGAAGAATATGGACATGTCGTCCCAGTACACGATCCTGGTACGGATCTCGTACCGGCTGAACGTCCGCACGAACTTGCGGTACCGGACGCTGTTGGATATGGTGAATATGAGGCCGCCGCGGCGCCGGAGCTCTTGCCACAAACCGGTGCGCAGCAGGAACTCGATGCGAGCCAGGTCGATCTCGCGCAGGTACCGGGCGTTGTTCATGTGTGACAGGTACACGTCCAGGTCAGTGGTCAGGCACACGGACGAGTATACGGCAGTGTCCGTGACCCGGASCTTCTTCTTGATGCACGTGGCCGTCACATAGCTGAACAGCGACCGTAAGAAATATGGCACATCGAACGTGCACATGAGCACCAAAATCAGTGCGAGCACTGCGCACGTCACCGTCAGTGCCGTCACCGTCAGCGCCGACGTGCCCGTACCCGCGGTGGCGCTGGCCGTCGGTGTGGCCGGAGCCGTCGTGGTCGACGACAGCAACGAAATCATCATTGCCGGGTCGGCGGCGCCCGTGGCCAACGGTTATTGATAGTAGACGCAATATCACTTATTACTATGTAGCTACTGGGAATCCGGGAATCGCATCGACCGGAAGTGGCGAGGGGAAGTCCACGCGCGATACTGAGTCGAATTCGGGCGTAGCGGTTTCGGCCGGCGACTGCGATGAAATTCGGACGCGCCAAACGTGCTGATAGGCGGCTGGTGGACGGGTTTGTGCGCGTGAGACACCGGCGCGTGCGTGCGTGGTAGACGCGATAATAATATAAACTATCAAACGTGGAAAGAAACGTGCGTATTACACAACCACGTATTATATATACCTAAGTATGATACCGGTCATACAGGACGCGACCAACGGAATGCAATAACACAATGTACACAATTATTATATATTATGACTAGCTGAACCCGTGCACTTCGTAGCCCGTTAAAAACCCTACCTCTTATAGGTATGTCTCAAATCGATATTCGATAATTATTATTCTTTAGTAAATATTGAAATGGTTTTGATGTTTAAAATATTTTATTGAACACGCCTTCAATATCATCAATACACGACACATGGTTGATAATATTTTTTATATTGAGCCCTTTAAGGATCAACGGCTTTAGACCTTTGATCTAATGCCTGTACAGTATAGATAATAAGTATAAATTGTAACTGATACTGTATGGATGAGTTATCTGTGACAAATTCAACACCCGTGGATTTGCCACTTCTTAAACTCTTATATATATATATATATAATATATTATATAAACCATTTTTCATGAATCAACAAATCCCTGTGTGAGCACTTTTTTAAAATTCAAAATTTAAAAATTGGCTTCGTAATGCATATCCTCCAGTAATATGGTACTTATGTACTATATTTCAAAATCACGAGTGCAATAGACTTGGTTATTTATCGCTTTCTCATACATACACACATACATTGCCTTTTATTAATATATATACAGGATGTATTAGAAAAATTCGACAAAAAAAAATATGTAAAATGTATGACGAAAATTGTTAGTGTTATATAATAAGTAAATCGTTTAAGAAATTAGTATATTAGCACATTCTAAAAAATCATATTTTTAAAAATTTATTACGTTCCAAATTAWWWTWRMCAAAAACATATTGAATTTAAAACGATTCTAAAAAATAAACTACTTGACTTATATAAATCTTTTAACCATCAAAATTGTTCATATAATCAGATTCACARATAGRCTATTTTGAATTTRTCCAAAAAAAAATGTTATCAATTATTTTTAAGTTTTCTATTTTCAGTATTAAAAAATAAAATAAAAAAATTATACTTAAGATTTAAAATGTAGCGCAAGTGTCTATGAATAATATAGAAAAAAAAATTTTTAAATATTAAATACAACAAAAGTTATTCCATATGTCAGATCATTGTGACTTAATGTGAGACACTCAGTCTATAGTGACGTGAGTGAGCGCTGACACAAATTATGATGGCAATAATATCCATACTTGCATCGCATTGTGTGGTTTCCGTTTATGTCTGTTGGGAGACTATTGTGTGACGACCTAAGTTGATAAGTATAAAAAATACGCCAACCGAATAACAATATATCAGAACACCACACTTTATAGGACTAATACGTTCTAAAATAATATGTCATCGTAAGTCGAAGGCGACTACCGCATTATGACTTGTATGTGCGTCCCAATATTATAATATTTTTTATTTTTTGTACGTTATTCTACAGATGTACGAAAACATTTTATGTAATATTGTAAGCAATGAGACTATTATTTTTTTCCTTTGATGCATCCTATAATCTTACTAGTTTGAAAGATTATATTCCTCTTCTCCCGTAGTCTCTTGTTACCTATTTATTTACTTGTAGGTACCTGTCACGCCACCTACCTTTGTTATAATCTCAATCTGTAACAAATTATATACCTTGCCTGGRGAACAATTATCTAACTGAAAACAGATCAACTATCAAAAACTAAATAAAAAATAAAAATGTAATATCAATAGTTTGTATCTACATTATTATTTAATATTAGTTTATAAAAGATCTTCACTTACAGGCTCCGTATACTTCTAATATATAAATCTAAACGTGTAACTAATAACTACATTCTGCAATTATGATTAATTTCAAAGTATTTATTTTCAATAAAATTATTCTTATTTTATTTGGAACATAATTATTAGCTCGAAACGTATACTAAAATTACTATAACAATATTCTCTATTAGTCAACTGAAATTTAATATATTATTTGCTTACTAACGGTAAACCTATATCTATCATCAACTAAATACAATACTTGTTATATTCTTTAATAGCATTGTGTATTATGCACTCATATAATGTTTATATCACAATTTATTAATTAATTTACCAAATACTTAATCTACTTACAAAATTAACAATTTTTCATAGTTTATTAGAGTTWAGAAAATTMGTTTTTTYGATTTTAAACATTTAAAATTACATACAAAACTTAAGMTTGAATAACGTTCTTTTCAAAYACACCCAATTAAATTATTATTATMAAATATTATATGAAACKTACATTAAAAATACTTCAAATGGTACAAACTATAATACATTTTGCTTATAAAATTAAGTATGTTAGTATAATATGATATAATTTTGAATWAATTCGCAATCAAAACTATTATTTTAACGTGCTTAATATTAATAAACATTGATTATTAGTAATTATTACTTTAATTAGTAATTACAGGAATCACTATAGATACATATAAATACTAAAATCAGTAATTAATTTATGTAATGAATTAAAACTAATCATGCATTTCAGATAAAACTGTTAAAAGCTATCATTTGAATTATTCAATTTA